AGATATAGATATAGAGAGAGAGAGAGAGAGAGAGAGAGAGCATAATTATAAGGCTACGAAAACCAAACAAATTTTATTTTATAGCGATTATACACTTGTGTAAACATATTAATGGGTAGAATATTCAGATTGACAATAAACCATGCCAAATATTACACACTGGCCCTTTCATTTTTTTTTTTTTTAAAAAGGTAAAAGTACTCATTATGCAATGTCACAAACCAAACACTTTAAAGTGTACTCTCAAAAGTGCTTAACCTCAATTTAGCTTTCACAAACTACAAGAGTCACAAACCAGACTGATCATATATAACAAATCAAACCTAATGTGTTACACTAAGGCAATCATAGCCTTACCTTAGCCTATGGATCGGACGAGCCCCCATTTGTCACCAACTGGCTCAGTGAATGTGACAAGAAGGGAGTCCACACAAAAGATTTACTTAAAACAAGGCAAATTTATTAAACTAAAATTAACTTAAATAATCAGTGGAGTGTGTAGGTCAGCAAAGTCAGTTATGAAAGCCATGCATGGGTGAGTGTCAGGTGTGCTGTGGAGGTGTTGAAGGTGTAAAAAACCAAAGATGCTCAGTGGATATCAGCTGAAGGAGGGGAGAGACCAAGTGAACAGAGGAGGTAGCTTTTATAGCCTGGAAGCCCAGGTGAGCCTAATCAAGGTAACAACCCTCCCATGTCAGCCAACTTCCTGATGAGGCTGGCTGGAACATTGTCCAAGACAGTGGGAGGGGCATCACAGCAACAAAATGGTCCCTGTGAGTACTATAAGATTAGATTATGGTTACTAATACATGAACATGTGAGCACCATTTTAATGTTGCAGCTGATTTAATCAATACCCAGTGGTGCAAAGTAACTAAGTACATTGTACACTTACTCAAGCACTGTACTTAAGTACAATGTTGAGGTACTTTATTTTAATTTTCTGCTACTTTATACTTTACGTAACTGCATCTCAGATGGAAACATTGTACTTTTCATTCCAGTGATTTTATTTGATAACTTTAGTTACTTTGTAGAGTCAGATTAATGACACAAAATATAATCAAGGAATAAATTCTAAGATAAGGTAAAACTCAACTGGTTCATTGGGGGTAAATTCTCAAGCTACCCAACAGTATACACAGTAATTAGCATTAACTCCACCAGCTGCAACATTAAAGGACCAGTGTGCACGATTTAGTAGCTCTTTGCACTGAGGTTTCAGATTGCAACCACCTGAATATCCTCCAGTCTGAGAAGCTACAGTGGCCTTTAAGTAATTTAAAAATGTGGATGGCCCTATTTGGAGCCAATATTTGTTTGTCTGTTCTGGGCTACTGTAGAAACATGGCGGACTCTGTTGAAGAGTACCTGCTCCATATGTAAATATAAACCGCTCATTCTAAGGTAACGAAAACACAATGACTATTAGTTTCAGGTGGTTAAACACTAACAAAAATGTAGTTTTAAATATTCAGTTTCTGCCAGTAGATCCCCCTAAATCCTTCACACTGGACCCTCAAAGTAATGTTTACATTAAAGCAGCTGTGCAGAACTTTTTACCATTCATAAAACTGTCCCTAGTTNCCCCCCCCTTGAAGATCCGCATATTTATTTGAACCCAACAGTGACAAAAAAACCTTCCTCTATATGGCTATTTAGCGTAGCCTCGGTCGGGTCAGACACAGCAGAAGTCAGCAAACCAGAATACGGCACCTGGAGGCGGAAGTAAGTCTGCACGCCTGCAGCGGCCCGCAGCCATTAAACCACAGAAGAACAAAGAGCCATGTTTACAGAGAGTGTTCTTTGAGTAAGCAGTACGCAACGGGCATTGCTGAACACATAATAAAGAATAAAGGATAAAGAAGGAGCACCATCTAAAAGAAAAAGAACAGAAGAAGGCTAAACGGGACTGTGATAAGGCTCGAGCCCAAACATGTGCAAACCTTGGTCGGGCATTCACCAAGTGGAGAGAGCTGAGAGATTTGAAAGGTTTTAAAACTTATCTCGAGTTGGCCCTTTTCCTAATCGACGGGTATGTCATTTTTGTTTTTATTTAGAGAATATAACGCAACTTGTTAGACGTTGTTTCACTTCAATATATGACGACATGGAAGTTCTAAGCAAGCTAAATGTAACGTTAGCTGATGTGAACCGCTTTTGTCTAGTAACGTTACAACAAACGCCACAAAATTATCTGTGACTGTGACCATGAACACAAATATACAGCAGGCAGTTGTCCTCAGTTTATAAGAAATTCAGAGCTACACCAGAACATTTATGATTTTCCTCTCACTCTCCATAACAAATGCATGCGGTCATTGCCAGTTGCAGTCGAGCTACGAATGAAGCCAAATGCCGGCTGCAGTCGGAATTTTACAACACCAGGCTGTGGGTGTCATACCTCTTCGACCAAAGGGGGCGCTATAATCAACGAAAACGTAAAGTTCCGCACAGCTGCTTTAATACATAAATGGTTATGCTCTAGTGACATGTTACTCTGAGATGGGCCATATTGCTGAGTGCCTTTGTTTCCTTTCAAGGTTCAGTGTGTAGGATTTATGGGAATATTTCAACAGAAATGGAAATGAATATCCATAAGTATGAAAATAAGAATGGTTGTTTCGTTACCTTAGAACAAGCCTTTTAATGGCTGCATACAGAGTAGGTCCTCTTTACGTAGTCTACCATGTTGTTCTACAGTAGCCCAGAATGGACAAACCAAACAGTGGCTTTAGACAGGGCCATTCACATTTTGCGTTGGCCACCGCGGTTCTCCTACATGCTTGGCACACAGGAGAAGTTTCAGTTGATTGCAATCTGCAACCTCACCACTAGATGCCACTAAATCCTACACACTAGACCTTTAAGTATAGTTTGATGCCAATACTTTTGCACGTGTCCCTATACTTTTTGTACTGAAGTTAAATTCTAAATGGAATTCTAAATTTAAAAAGGACTATTTCTACACTGTGCTATTGCTAGTGTTACGATCTGAGTAGTTCTCCTACTGCTGTATACAAAATACACAATCTTTTGGAAACTGATCTTATGTTTTGTATATAAAATCTTAATCTGCAAATTAAAAACTAACTTTAGCTGTCAAATAAATGCAGTTGAGAAGAAGAGTATGTTTCCCTTCTCCTGAAATTTAGTGGAATATGAGTGAAAACTAACATGAAAATAAAAATAGTACAGTTCAAGTAGCTTCAAAATGTACTTAGTAACATTTTACTTTACTAGAGTCACACTAGTCAGTGGCAGTTATTTAAATAATGTGAAATATTTGTGAATAACAGCTTAAACTAATTCAAAAACAAAAAAATGGTAATACAATTTCTGCATCTGTGAATCATATTTCACAACTAAAATTGATGTCTTCAGTAAATGAATGAATGGTAGGATATAAGATCTAACACCAGATGGCAGCAACACTCAGTGTTTTATGTCACATGGTAGCACTCAGTCTGATGAAGTCAATAAAAAAGGCTTGAGGCGCTGTTCTGTGCAGCTTCGAATCAATCGTACTGTTACTTTAATTAGATGGAGTGATACACAATGCATCAGAATCCAGAGTAATAATACCTGGACATTTAAAATAATAATAAAAAAAAAATATTCACATAAAAAAACAGCAATGTAAAAATGTACAGAGCAAAAAGGTTAAAACATGTTAAGAAAAAAAGGCCATAATGTATTAGTGGATCACATTATGATGTAAACGTACAGAAAGTGCAGGTCCTTCATTCAACAGTAGTGTAATCATCGTTTCTTAGGACACGTTGATTCCTCAGCCATCAGGTGTGTTTTCTTTTGAGTCAAAAAAAAAAAGATTGAGATTACCAATAAATATCGGGGGAAACGGCAGTTATTGGGAACATTATTTTAGTGAGTGTAGGTCTAGGAAGTCGTAGGTGTGTGTCTATGTGTGGGTGTGTGTGGAAAGCCAAAGTGACACATAATAATATGTACATGAAAATTCATTCATCGTTGAATTTTCACAGCTTCGTTTTCTATCTGTATTGTCATTCGATGAAGAAATTAAAAACGTTTTGTGATTAACAGCAAATGGAATTGTAAAGTAAGGAAGCGATAGTTTGAGCTTGTATAATGTTAGGTGATCGTACGTAGACTATCGTTATCCCAATTTGGAACTGTGATGTTTCTGTGGACATTAACATCTACATCGCCTAAGAATACTAGAGATTACAATATTAATACCTATGCATATCTTTATAAAGTACAGCTACTACAGTACATGTACACACTGATTTCATCTGAGCAAACCTTAATATTAACGTCCAGTTCTCTCTCAGCTGGACAGAATCTGGTGATTGTTATAATAAAAGTCTTTCACATCTGGTAAAATTTGTCGCTAAGAGCAGTTTTTGGTCACATTCATTCAGCTATCATACACATACACTGACCTTCATTGTCCTCTAAAACTCAGCGAGACATTTATACACAATGAATGATGATCACATTTCCCTTTTAAAAAGTCTGTGTGTGAAATCTTTAGCCAGATAGCGAGATCTCATAGTCACTTGTCGACAGCGAGGGGCGCCCGACTTTCCGCACATTCTTGGCGTTAGTTATACGAGCAGCCACCTCCACTGGCTTCTCAAAATAATGCACCAGGGCCTGCTCAGTGAGCACAGAGGCCAGGAACTGCTCAAACGTGATGGCCCAGTCTTTATCAATGCTTGTGCTGTGAGGCAGCCCTCTGTCATGGGGTCCACCACCGTGGGGCTGGTTACCTCTTTCACCGCTGGGGCCGCTGTCGCTGCGCACCAGCACTGTGTCGTCTGCAATGTCCTCGCACTGCAGCTTCTCATCCAGCTCGTGGGAGCCTGCGCTGAGCACCGAGTAAGACGACATCGAAGTGTCATCTTTAGTTTCATCATCCGAGATAAGCATGGCGGACGACATGCCTGTGTCTTTGGGAGACGAGTCCTCCAGCTTGATGTCTTGCATAGGTGGCAGCTGCTCGCTCCCTTCGTCCCCTTTCCCCTCCTCACAAGGGCTTGGCTTGGTCTCCAGACCTGCAGAAGCAAAGCCGTCGCCCTGGCCCCGCTGCTGGAACACGCCATCAAGCACGGCCTCCTGGGTGGTTTTGGGATCTGTGGCATCTCTTGTACACAGGCTTGGCTCTGATTTACTCTCCATGTTGTGGTCCTTTCTGCCAGTGGAGGAGAAGAGCTTTCCCACCTCTCCCATCTCCAGCAGCAGACTGGTGACTGTCGCTGTGGCGTGATAGAGCTCCTGCTCTGCAACGTCCTCACTGAACATGCTGTAGAGGGTCTTGCAAAGCTCGATAAACTGGCTCTGGAAAAGAAACATAAGAGATCAGTTATACCCCAGTGTGACTTGTCTGTTTCTTATGCACAATTTTTGAAGTCAACTTGTGGCCTGCTGTTGCTGTAAAATCCATTTATCCATTTGTTTGCCTGTGGATTTATTTTTAGTGTAATACACTTTCTGTACTCTTGGTGGCAGTAATCAATTCTGAGACTGCATTTATACAGAAAGGGTAGTTGCAGTCAGGTGTGCGGCATGCCAGGGGGAAGCATACAGTTATTTGACCATGATAGTGACGTCTGCAGGTAACATGGCAGTACCTCAAAGTGTGGTTAGGCTACTATACTGTGGGATTGACGATGATCTACAGGGATGGAGAAAAGATATCTGCCCGAGGACATTCCGGTTTGTGCGTTACAGCTGATGCCTGCTGCACATTTCAATTAAGTTCCCCAACACTGCAGCACCAGTAACTTAATGGAAAGCCACTGTAGTTGCTATGTGACTATGGCGTGGGGGAAAGATAAGTTACAGTGCAGAGAACTGCTCGGAAAAAAACTGCAAATTAAGGTAGTTTTCTTTGTGACATAAACATGTCATAATGCTGAAGAGCTGCTGGGTGACTGGCTGTACATGTTTGACATCACAGCAGTTTAGGAATCAAATAAAAAACTGGTTTGCAGCCATCAAGAGGGCCCATGTAAACATCGTAGGGGGTGTCAGCCAAACAGGCCCTGGTCCCCCAAGTCAAATCACACTTATGTCTGCTCGACCAATTTCACAACCAGTGGGAATAATTAACGAATGTCCTACTAACAACTCATATAATAATGGTATAATAGTGACACTCTGAGCCTGTGTTTGGTCTTTTATTGGTGGTCATTAAAAGCTCAGCCTTGGCCAGTTTAAAGTAGCTGTACTTTAATTACTTCTTTAAGCTAGTGAGATGTAGTGGTATTACGTAAGACAACCTCAGGCATGATTAAAGGTTTTCTCTAATATCTTGGGCTTTAAAATAATTAAACACCATGTTGGCATCATCATTCTCCAATCAAAATAGATCTCAAGGCTGTGAAATTAAACAGAAAGGATGAAAAACCGATGCTCACTTAGGACTTTAGAGTCTAGAGACCAGAGACCTGACAGAGAATACACAACCCCTTTACCGCAAACAAAGCTGGCAGCGATCGTGTGATGTCACATTGACTACGCTAATAGCGATTTCCCTGAAGCATTCCTAAATGCTTAACCGGTTATATCAACAAGCACATGCACTTTGACTTGTCACATTACGGGCATGAGCCATATGGTTGCACTGTTGTGTGTGTGTGTGTGTGTGTGTGTGTGTTTTTGTCGACACTCCTTGTGATAATATGTTTTGTTGTTGAGGCAATTTTCCAAAATGACTTTGAATGATATGGTAATAAATGACTGCATCTTGATATAAAACCAAAGACAGAGGGTGAAGTCTTACCTGATTCAGCTTGGGGAGGTCTTTTGTGTTTTCTAGTTTAGGTTTTGTCTCCTGGTTCCACAGTTTCAGGTAATGGCGATATTCAGGAGTGTTCAGTTTCTTCACTGTAACATGTACACAACGTGTTACTAACATATCAGAGTATCTCAGGCACAAACTCCTATTTTAGTTTTAAAAAAGCATGAAGATGTAGCCAGTGTCTGACTTTATGACATAAGCATAGAGCTGATCGTAATTTTTCCCCTGGTACAGTAAACACAAATCTTCAATTAATGTGAGTATTTTGTTAAATAATTACAGCTTGCTGTTGCTACCATCTTGGATATATTCTGCATTTATATATATGTTGTTTCCAATAACTGACTATGCTGCTCACCTTTTTCAGTCTTAAATGTAACTCTGACGAATCCATCGTCCCGTTCACCTCTGCACTTTGAGTCGTGACCTGAGAAGAGAGGATCAAACATCATTTGTTAACTTAAAGTAGTCAAATTATCCATTACTCCAAATAATGCTGCAACAATTAGTCAACTGAAAGGAAGTTAAACTGACAACTACTTTGATAGTAGATTCATCATTTCAGTCAATTTTGAAACAAAAATGTCAACATTTGCCAGTTCCAGATTCTTAAATGTCAACATTTGCTGCTGCCTAGATACTTTATTCATCCCAAGGGAAATTCACATCTTCCAGCAGTATCCACAGATTTAAGATAAAAAGATCAGAAAAATAACACTTTAAAAAAGGCATGCAGTAAATACTGCTAATAAACAAATGTCTTAAAGAGCATGGTGTGCAGTGTGTGATAACGTAGAACACAGACTCTCCGGCTGGAGTTAAAGAGCCGCATGGCGTAGGGGAGGAACGACTTCCTCAGTCTGTCGGTGGAGCAGGACAGTGATAGTAGCCTGTCACTGAAACTGCTCATTTGCCTGTGGATGGTACTGTGCAGTGGATGCAGTGGATTGCCTATGATTGACAGGAGCCTGCTCAGTGCCCGTCTCTCTGCCATGGATGTCAGGCTGTCCAGCTCAGTGCCCACAACAGAGCCCGCTTTCCTCACTATCTAGTCGTGAGGCGTCCCTCTTCTTGATGCTGCCTCCACAGCACAGTTTTTTGCAGATGTTTTTTGCATGATGATACCTTGTGTGAATTATGGCCGCAACTTCCAACACTAGACCGGAACCAGTGTTGGATGTGATAAACTAACAGTATGCTAATTATAGTTTGTGGATCCACTGGGAGAGGAAATAAAACATGTGGAACACACCATCTGTTGAACCTCAGATGGGATAACCTGATCGTACCTCTAAGTTACAGCACTCTGCAGGGACATTTTAGAAAATGCTAATTTAACACTAGTTAAATAAATGTAACATAGAACAAAATACTGTAACAAAGCAGTATTTACTAAACTAAAGGTGAGTTACTTTGTAAAAGAACTGTTGTCAGTGGTTAGCCACCAAGATTAGCCACAGGACTAACCATAGATTGGAAGTTGCACCCATTATCACTTCTACAGTTGCAGGAATAACTTGGATATTTTATTTTCTTACTTCCACACTACATACTGCAGGTTCTTGATCATACAGTATATACACAGAGTCCTACTGTACTTCTCTACTCCCAGGACAGGGTGTAGTGTAAGAGTGTATCATCATCAGTGCCTTATAAAAATTTAATTATCCAAACAACAGCTTTCAGATGAACAAAGGTGTTTGAGGCAGTTTCTTTGTCTTCTGCATATTAAGCACAGGGTGCTCCTGCAGCCCTAAGCCTTACACACATAATGTAATTTGTGTACACATTTCAGTGCCTTTCAGCACACTGTCAGTGTGCACAATGCAGGCTGCATGCTCCGTCTGCGGTTTCAAGGTTAATACAACCACAATTTCCCCTGCAAATCACATGAGATGCTATAACCACAAAAACAGATTTCACTCGTGCAAATTGTCAAGAAAACAGGCCAACAAATGACTTAGGGGGAAATCTCTTTGACAAAATAAGTGATCATGTGTCATTGTGAGTTTTTTTGTTTTCATGTACTTTTGTTTGATTTATCTTTTTACTATACAATTTCTCTTTTTATCTGTCACCTCCTGGATGTCTTTTATCTTGAGTTACATGGTTCTCGGTGAGGTAAAGTGGTTATAAAATGTTATGTTGATAAGAGGGCTGAAAAAATTGGGACACCCTGTCAAAGTGTTGGGACATACAGTGCTCATGTTGATGTATGGTTATGTCATTGTGGTTAAGGAAAGGATGTAATGAAAGCAACACAAACTGGATGACAAAGTAAGTTGATCTTACCGATGGACGTTTCTGGAGTGATGTCTTCAAAGAAATACTGCGTGGCCTCAAAGGCAGAGTCAGGCTCTTCCTGTTCATGAGTGACTTCTGGGAAAACACAATTTCAGAAAATTAAATGGGCTTGTGACAAAATTCTGTCAACCCTTCTCTGTCATTATATGACACCTCTTTTCTGTGTAGCTAATAATCCTGCTCCACTGACAAAAAATATTTTCTGTAGTTTCCTAAAGTCGACTTTCTGAGATCACTGAACTGAACTGATGCACTCACCAGGTATGACGTGCATCTTGTAGAGGAGCTTCAGCTTCTCAGTGAGGTCCCCGTGATAGAGGACGCCTAAAACACACCAACAAGCTTCAGATTACGGACACGTCTGAACTGCTTCAATCATTACAGCATCAATTTGTCAGCTGAGCAGCTATGATACAAACTATTACTACCTAAGAATATTTACAAGGACACATGCCCAATCATACTGTACTTACCAAGGCCATTAATAAACTCCCGAAAATTGATGAGAGCGTCTCCATTTTGGTCGAGGAGACGGAAGAAGCGCAAAGTCAGGGGGTCTGAGTGGGATCCGTTGGCCCAAGGGAACAGAAGATTGAACAGGCCTTTGAACTGCTCCACGTCAATGCGGTACTGCTCCAGGTAGGGCAGGCTGGGGTCGTGACGCTCTGTGGGGTTGCTGCTGCCGCCCCAGTAGCAGCTGGTCAGGTGCTCAGCCTGAGGAGAGGAGTGAGGACTGTGGTATCATATGCAAATCAATCCCATTTAAATATAAACTTAAAAAAAACCACAAGCATACATAAATAGGTGGATTTTAAAGATAAATGTCATGAAACAATAAATTTTAGCATAGTTTCATTGTCAGGTTTGTGAAACACACTTTGACGGCATGTTTGGAAGCATTTCACTCTTAAAGTGATAAGATGTTACTTCAGGGACCTCCATCTGAAAAGATTTTGGGCTTTTACACATGATTAAGACCAGGACTCTGGACCCCTGGTTTGGAACCACTGTTGTCAAGGAAGATAGCTAGAGTGCTAATGTAAGGATTCACAGGCTATGATTTATTTTCTCTGTAAAGATTAAAAGAGGGTTGGATTTCCTGCCTATATCTCACCTTTAGTGTGGCGGCAGAAGGTGCAGAGTCCCACAACATGAATATGTAAGATGCAACTCACCTTGAAGAGAACATAGAGCTCCTCCAACTCGTCAATACTGAAGGCAGTCTCTGTTACAATAGTCCTGACCTGAAACACAACATAATTACATTAAGTAAAAATAGAACATAGGGAATATTGTTAAGCATGAAGAGAGAGCATCTACCAGTGACTAGAATACAAGACTAAGACTTTAAATTGGCGAGTCGCCTGATTACTATTCTGCTGTCTGCACAACAGGGTTGAGCGAGAACATTGTCGTAAATAGAGTCGGTGTGTCCTTACCACGTTGCGTTTAGTTGTATCTTCAATGGTCTGGATGACCCTCAGTCTCTGTTTGAAACGCATCTGTTCGATCACATCTGCACGGATTGAACCGAATTTCTGACACAAAAGGAGAAGAACAAAGAGAGAGGAAAATGGGTCAATCCAGCTGTGATGTTATGCAAAGTCTGTTATCACAGTGGAAACAACCAGGACAGCTGGAGACAGCTGTGAGATTGTGAGGAGACAGCTGGGCTTTTCAGCGAGATACATTTAAAGTAAATTAAATTTCAGTTCAAATCATATAAACTAAAAACATACTGCATTTTATTGAAAGGGGTAACATTCCAGCTTTCTTGAGGAAGGAGATGAATGACTCAATTTGATTAGGAAGCACTTAAAACACAGCAGATTTGTGCTTTTCCCCCGCATGCCTCAACACCAAACACAGAGGAGGACACAGTTTTACACACACACGCACACATTAGGTTAAATACCTCGTAGGAGCTGCGGACCAGCTTGAAGATGTCGACCTCTGGATGGGGTTCTCCGTTGTCTGTCAGTAAGGAGTGCAGGTGGGGGATGGGAGGGAGGGTGCTGTCCTTATTGGTCACACTGTCCAAATATCTTCAACACACAAATGATGTAGGGTAATATTTGTGTTTCCACAGTGACTCCTCCTGAGGCATTAATGAAAGACACCCTAAATATCCAGAATCTGGACATTTCGTCTGTTTTACCTGCCCAGTACGGTCATGGCCTCTCCGTCATCCTTGCAGCCCAGCAGCTGGTGGATGTTAGCATGCAGCACGGATAGTGCCAGCTGAAAGATGACCTTGATGCCGTCGTAGAAGAAGCAGTCCACCACCACCACTGCACTCTCGAACGGCATGACAGACAGGAAGAGGGTGAGGAACCAGGAGAGCGAGATAGTGGAGATGACACCGAGGTCCTGCATGCAGTCGTACAGCTGAGGAACGTACTCGCGGGCCAGCTCTTCGAACACCCCCTGATCCACCAGGGCACCTGGGGAAGACGCGGTAAAAAGAAGAGGACGTTAAACTCATATGTATTTTTCAATCAAACACCCTAATAGACAGAAGCACGTACTGACCTACGACCCTAGTGTTGTAGTAGTCAGGCAGCATCCTCTCACAGAGCGCCACGAGCAGCCAAAAAGCCTCCTCTTCTTTGGCGTAGAGCAGCAGCACAGATGTCACAATATTCATAGCCTTCGGTGTTGAGGGAGAGAAGAATAAAAATTCAAGTAGTGTCAAGGACTGCAGGGTTTCTGTCAGTCTGTGTCAAAATCAAAACAAGGCTGTGTGTACCTGACAGTATCCGATGTTGGGGTTTCTGAACGCGTAGGCTGTGAGGACCCTGCGGAGGGCAGCGATGCCCATCTCATTCTGAAAGGCCGGGTGCTCGGGGAGAGAGCGGTGCAGGTCCCTCTCGATCTCCTCTGTTGCCAGGTTGTATTTGCCCATCGACTTCTCCACCAGGTCTTCGTAGTAGCCGGGGTGGGTGGCCATCTCGTTGATCGCTCCTGTGGAAAACACAAGATCACCTGTTATCTATCTGCGTACTTTTATGTTTTTTAAATCAGTAACATCTGGACATCTATTGTTGCCTTTTTGTATGTGCTATCTGTCCGATATTGTCTACATGTATTTACCACCATTAGGTAAACAAAGGAGAGAAAACAGTCTGTGTGATGGGGTTGATTTCATCCAAAGCTGTCATTAAATATTTAAACCTATAATATCAAATCAGCTTTATTGAAGGGGGAATTTAAGTGTCACACCAGCAGAAGGACACAAAGATATGCAAAGATAAGCAACTTTTGCACAAGTAATAAAACAATAAAACATCATACACTCATTAATATATAAAGGATTGTGCTGGTGATGTTAAAAAAACTCAATTTATAAAGACATCTCACCAAAAAAAGAAACAACTGCTGTAACTATTTCTGATAACGTCTACACATGGTAAGTAAAGTAGATCTGCTTATACAGTTTGGAGAACTGCATAACCCATCATGTTAAACACCAAACCTTGAACTGATCTTTATCGGAGTTTCAGTCATGTTACATCATTTCATTATGTATTCCAGCATCTTATCAATGTGCACATCACACTCTTATACCCTGCACACTGTCTGCAGCCTGACAGCTACAAGGAGAAACAGTCGACTCCTCTGGCTCCCTCAAAAGTTGCTTTGCAGTTCTTGTTGTCACATCAAGGTTGTCTTGATTTGGCATCTTCTTCTGCTGCTTTCAGACACCTTTGACATGTATTTAAACCTTTAAACCCTGAGCTAATTGGTGTGATTTCTTTCAAAGACATTGAAAAAAGGCAATGAGCAACTTGGTAAGAAATGTCACACAAAAATAAAATAAAAATAAAAGACAAAAAGAATAAAAATTGTACAACTATACTTATAATTAAAAGTATTACATTTTAAAATTATGCAACAAGGAAACTTCCCTTCGTTTGTTTTAACTTTCTTTCTTATTTATTTTTTACTAATTTTCTTATTTTTAATTTTACTAATTTCTTGCTAATTTAGGGGGTTGTTTCTTCTTCCATTGCTCATTGCCCTCTTCCCATGTTTCTTAAAGAAATCAAGCCATTTTGCTCAGGTTTCAAACAGAGCATCCTCTGATTTATAGAAAGGATTGAAACCATAAAGTTTGAATTTTTAAAAATAAAAATGCTGTAATGTTAAAAAATGCAAAACGACTGAGGGAAAATATAAAGTACATGACCTGTAACACTAACGGTACTGGTATTTCAGACCTGTTAGCTGGTTAACTGTACTTAAGTTATGTGAATAACTTTGCAGTAAAACCTGGAGGAACTTTTTCCCATCAGTCCATGCTCCAGGTTCTCTCAGCACAGTTATCCACCTAGTTAACGTGCTTTTTATATCTCACCAAACTGGCTTTTACACCCTCTGTTCTAAAACAAGACATGAATTAGGTCAACACCTGAAAGTTTTAAATAAACACAGTAAATATTTTTCTTCAGGACTTCAGCGTGGGTAAAACTCATTTCAGAAGGAGCAGGTAAAGGTTACTAAAGGTGAAAACAATGCAGCTATGACAACAGCATAGCAAGCCATAAGTGGGTCACTGGGGAAAGAGGGAGGAGCTGTTTGTAACCTGCTCTGCTCAGGTGAGGATGGGCACAAGCTGCTGCATGACTGTGAGTGTACACAGGAAAGACTGGAGCTGGTGCATACCTGAATGTGGAGCGTGTTTTTAAAGTATGACAGTCACGAGCTACTGGTGCTCTGTCGAGTCTGCAGGCAATGGAAAGTTTTCTTACAGCTGATGTTTAGAGGCTAGGTTTAAAACTGTGTTCAAGCACCCACGGATGTTTATTTACTTCATGCAAATCTCCAAACCAGATTTACTCAAACAACTGAATACAACATTTTAAATCAACTAATTTAAAGTGCCTCTAGTCAACAGATACTAATGATCTGAACACATTTTCAGTTGTAGCCCTAGTTGGTTTCTACAGTAACTTTGTGCATATACATGCTGTATATTATAACAGTTTTTAGCAGTTCAGTATGAAAACAGAATTGCAAATATACTGCTGCATGTTTATCTTTGGGTTTCTTGCACTCTTCTTTTGGCTCCCTAACCCCGGTGGTTCTTAACCTGCGGGTCAGGTGTCTCCCAAAGGAGTCCCTAAAATATCTGAACTTCCCCAGACGATGCAAACTATTTCTGTTACACAAAATATTTTTCTTCTCCTTTTTTTGGCTTTTTTATTCTGAAAAACTATAAACTTTACCTCTTTAGGGGTCTAAAAATCTTTCAAAATAAAAGCTTTTGCTCGATTTCAGATCCTGCCTGAGGCACTACATAGGCTAGAGCTGCCACTACATGTTTGCAAATCATTTTCAGTCTTAAGTAACCTGAATGCTCATGAACACTGTGTCATGAATAAAATGGTAAACTAACCTTAACCATGTGTTTGTACACGCTGCAACACAGGACGAAGTTTTACTGTAGTAGTAGTATTGTGTCTCACAGTGGCTACTGAAAACTTTCATCTTGTTCTCATACTGTTTATTAGTCATTAGTCTGTGGATGAACGTCACCTGTGTAAAGAATGTGTCATGTGGTGTTTTGATCGAGTGTGAGCACGTAGTACGCAGGGTGTGGTCTCCTCAGGTGTATGACTGAATCGTTCACATGTCTGTATGCACGGTGTGTCACAGTTGTGCCTGTGTTCTCAATATATTTGGGACTCTCTGTACATTTGCTCACCAGAGAAGAGTAGCCACAGGTCTCCTCTCATGCTTTCAGGAATCCCCTTGAGGACCAGCTCCTTCGTCTTCTCGGTGCGGTACATACACACCCCCTGTCCGTACTCTGCAAAGTGGTTCTTCCACGCCTGCTCCTTCAGGAACTCCTTCGCCTTAGCAAAGAGGGAAAACAGTAAGATGCAATAGCTCGAGTACAATCACTGTAATCTTTTTTTTCCATTCAGATTTCTGCTTCGACGACTCCACAGCAGTGGTTAGATTGATTTCTTGCACACTCCACATAGCAATAATGCTGTAATATTCTATAACGCAGGGTCACAGTCCCATTGTATTAAACTTCAGAACAGGTCTTGCTTTATTTATACAGTCTTACACAAGAAATATATTCTTGCTGAGTTGCCATTAGCAGTAATCCTCCATGCAGCTTTATATCCATGCAGTGTAATGATGTAAAAATGGCAATTATGGAAAGGCAAGCACAAAATGTACAATGTTCAAATAAACTGGAGTCCAGTGCTACAAAGAGCTTTAAATGGAGGCAGAATGAATCAGAGTATTATTAAATAAGGTGTTACGATGTGCCGCACTACACTTGAAAAGATGAAAAGCTTTTAATTGTATTAGACAAAAGCTCATACAACTCACCAGCTTGGGATTGAACTCCTCAGGTGAGCGGCGGCGGTACATGGTCATCAGGGCTTGTGTGGCTGTGGGCACGCTGCTGTCGTTCAGGTTGAATGTACGCTCGCTTTCTGAGCCCAGACTGTGCTGTGGGCTGCTGGAGAGCAGGGATCCAGGCTGGGAGTAAACCTGGGGGGGCACACATCATATTCAAGCTTTGGTGCTTTTAAATGTACGCAGTCACCACCACTGTTCATAGTCACTCACTTATTTTATAGATCTTGTATTTACTCAAAGAAACTATTTTTTACCTCATCATCTGAGCTGTTCAGGCTGCCAGTGAGCTCCCTCTCTAGGTAGATCTTGGAGGTGGTCTGCTGCAGGAAGTCAGAAATCCTCTGGACCAGGAAGTCTCGGTCCTTCAGGTTAGCAAACAGGAAAGTCATACGGTTCTTGGTGCTGATGGAGAGCGGGCTGGGCAGCACGTTGGAGCTGTCTGCCTTCTCCACAATGGTCACCTGGAAAGATGACGGGGAGCATTCACAATCTCATTCAATGGAGTAACGAATGACAAGCAGCCATATCCACGAGACACATTCACATATACTACGACTACTGTTTAGATTGAGGTGCTTTTCCAGCTTTTGTAACTCTCATTAGTAAAATCAACCATCTTGCAAGCTGTTTATAAAACAGAGGAAGACGTTTAGACAGAACAACTCACCTCTCGTAGCGGGATGATGAGGCTGCACAGCGTCTCTTCCTTACTGGTGAAGCAGATGTAGTTGGTGGACACAAACATCTGTCCCAGGATGTGCATCTTGTTAAAGGGGGTCCAGAGGGTGCAGTCTGTGTGTCCATCCAGTTTTTCATCTTTGGGCAGACGAAAGAGTGCCCGGTAACGCTCACTCTTAGCTCTCGCATCCAAGTCCCTATAGGATGGAAATGTGGCATCATATTAGATGACAGATTCTTAAAAGTATATGATGTATGTCAACAGCTTAGTGTGACATAATCATAGCGCTTAGAAGGTAAAAATGTGATATACCAAAAAAACTATACAGTGCTTGTGGTTTACTGTAGGCTATTATTTTGAACGAGAGTCGGCCTGTTACACTGACAATAACAGTCCAGTGGGTAGTTTATTTCCTGATGTTACACAATTTTGGACACACACAATGAAGTATCTGTGTACAAACAGTGAAGTGTTATGCAAGAGAAACCATCACACAACCCCAAACTGCAGTTAAAACAAATCATGCTTACAATTAATGTGTTGACAAAGCAAAAATGGGATCTTGAGGCCATTCTTAAGGGCTTGTAGAGATCTACTAGAGTTCAAAAGCACAATACTCTTCTGTTTCCTAACATGTGAGTCATGCTTTTGCAGTAAAAGCAAAACTATTATTTAACATTATTTTTTTCATCCTCTTTCGTCAAGTGTCTGGATAACCAACTGCTGTACAAACCATAACACATTAATAATCAATCGACGCCTAATGCCTGATGCCTAATGCCTACACAGCATTTATTATTGATGAGCAATAACATTCCCACTCTGCATCAGCTCATGCTCACCTCTTTAGTGCCGACACCTTCTTGGGTGACTTCTTCTTGAGCTTGGGAAGCGAGCGGTCCTGCTCAAAGCCTTTGTTGTCCAGGAGCTGACGCATGGCGATGTTGGCCAGCTGCTCGGCCAGCTTAAAGGTCTCGTTGATGTTGAGGAAGACGGAGAAGACGTGCTCGTTGATGCGGGTGCTCACCTTGATCGCGTCGGGCAGCAGGAGGGTGGCGCTCTTCTCCAGCTGGGTGATATCTGCCCAACGCACCACCAGCTTGGCTGACAACCACAAAAAGACATTAAAAGGAGAGACGTTAGTATGTAATGAAAATGTAAGACAAACCAATGGACAAACATAGACCTAAGAATAAGGTTTAAGACTTGGAAAAGGTTTAACTTTGAAAAGCATGCACCCAGGCCTGGATAGGAGTACACTTGACCCCCAAGTCCAGTTCTTTTCATTCGTGTGAACACTGTGTACCGTACTCTAGCATGATGCACTGATCTGTGCCCAACCCCACTTCAAAAGGTTGTCTCAAGTACGGTAAACGTGTAGTCCAGTAAAGTATGCATCAGGTGTGAGCACCAACTGTACCAAAACACCAAAGTACTTTATTTAACTTGGCCACAATGAGTTTTTAGCCAGTTATGAAACAGTCTCAGTTAAATAGCAACACCTCTATATCAGACCACAGTGCAGCCTGTCATGGACTGAACCAAAACTGGCTTCACTGCAGCCTGTAACCTGTAGCCAGAGATCCAGAAGGAGGCCGAAAGCTCCACGCCTGACAACAGTGCCTACTCGTCTAGTCAGGAGCTTTGTCTTGCTGCTCCACTGGTCCCGACTGATGGCAGCCCCCGGGGCAGCAGTGTCCAACTATGGTGCCCTTTTCCACATTGTAGCACAAAAAATGTCACATGGATAATGACGCAAGTGTACTTGGGTACAAAACAACATTACTGATGTGAAATCTGAGTGGCACAGGAGTGGAGGGGGGGGAGACGTTTGTACTCAAATCAATCGTACCTAACATGATAATGCCTTTAGATATTCACAGAGGACAACAAACTCCCAATCAAAATGATTTAACAGTCCATATCACAAGAATGAGACAGAGAATCAGGCAAAAGGAAAGCTCAGGAAGACTGGAATGATATTTGGGTTAGTCAGACGAGGACCACTTACATTCTGTGACTCTAAAGTTAATACACATTATACAAAAAGGTTCTCAGGGACAAAACCAATGCATTGTATAAGAAATCATGTTGGCAAGGTCACTAAGATAATTTATGCGTGGGCAGAATCCCAGATGAGCTGACACAGGATGAATGGTTTTTTAAAACGCTTTTGGCTGCTAGTAAAAAAAACAAAAAACACATGGAATGGCTGCAAGCAAAACCAAGGACGACTGGATAATCTGATCTTTACCTTAAGACTATAGCAATATGTAAAATACTGGAAATAAATGAACCATATATACTGTGCCTCTGAAGCGTAGCCCAGGACATATGTCACTGATTGATAGTGACTGACTATGTGCTCTGAGAATATGAAAGCATCTATATCCAACCTTCTTTTCCTAGTAAGTAGGAGTAGAAGCAGAGGTGGTTGATGCTGAGGTAAAGCCATCCCTGTCGTGGCATCTTGCCCTTCCAGTAGCTGCAGGAGTAATAGTTGACCAGCTTCTCCTCCTCCGGCATCCCGAACAGCTTACGAAACTTGGCGCTGGCCTCCTTGAACTTATCTGTGTCGTCGTCCTCTTTGACGTCGTGGTTCTTGTTGTACTCTGCAATGATGCCCTGAGGCGAGATGGAAAGAGACAGAATGAGGTAATGAGCTTGGGGATTAAACAATGGGATTGTAACTTGAGGAACAGCAGCTGTCAATGTGATCGATGTTTTCAATCAAATTGTTATGTATGTATCGAGCATGGGCTACTTCAGTTTTAAGTAAGTCGTAGGCGCCATCTTTCCAGCAGTAAACTAGCAAAACTTTTCTCAGGAGTTGATGAAAATTTTGTGGCTTGGTCTAGACTTGCTTTATCCGACTGTCTACAAATCAACAAAGACATCATCTCATTAACATTAGCAGAACAATGTTATGGCACATCTTAAACTCAAGCAGCTGAAGCAAACCACTAAAAACAGAGAGTTTTCTAACATTGACAACCTTTTCTGTTCCATTTTCAAAATCATACAGGTCCGTAGTAATATGTATAATGTCACAGTGCTTTTTTTCATCTCTTTTCTGTCTTTTTCCTTTAGTGTTTCTTTAAAATCCCATTACAAATAAAATAGAACAATTTGTGGCATGGAGGGAAAAATGGGTCAATTATGTAAAACCCCACAGGCCTGATTTTGTTTTTACAAATCACTGAGTATATTGTAAGGAAGAGATCACTCCCTAACTGTTCATAGTTTTCCCTTGTAATTTTTGTTTTTTATTTATTTATTTTTTTTTAATTCTTTTGCTCTGTATATGTGCCTCTGGAAAGCCCACTGGGATCTGTGACAAACATGAACATCTGACGTACACATACAGTTTAGGTTTAATGTTAAATACCAATAAAAAGTAAATTACCAAAATAAAATTCCATTAAAAATAATTGCATTGTTAAATATACATTTTTATTTTTCTGTTACAATATGAGCTTTGTAATAATAAATAATTGTCAGATAAAAGTATTTCGATGTAAAACTTTTTTTGGTCGGTGAGTTTTTAGTTTCTATAATAATTCTTACTATCTTCAAATTATTTCAAAAGGTGGTAAGCTGGCGTGTGCACGTTAATGCATGTGTGTATCCCATTGGCTAGCTCACTGTCACTGTTTTGCACTGCGCTCATATTGCGTCATCACAAAAGCACAGTGCCCACCCTCTGGTTTCCCCCTTGTTAACACAGTTAGCTTTGTCAGCACTGTTGTGCAATGTTTATGGAGTTAGCACAGTTAGCTGCTAGATGCTAGCTCAGCCATCTCTATTGTTTTTTAATTTATAGAATTAATTTCCTCTATTCCGTTGATGTTTGTGTTATAGTAAATTCAACATGTCGTTAAGTTAAAAAAAGTTTTTCATCTATGTAAGTAATGTCATAGTTTATTTCATTTAGTGAGCATCACTGCTCTGCTCTTAATCATGCAGAACACAATCACTTGGTGGACATGTCTATATACAGTATGTACAGTATATAACTTGTTCTGCTCTGTGGCGTTCAATAGACAACACCAAAGTTCCTCTGCTAAATGAAATGCATTGAGGAGCTATCAGTTTATTTTTGGATCCACCATCTGTGAATGATCTACACTCTGAATGTCTGTGAGCAACAAATAAAACATTGCATAACAACATCCGTCATTTCCATCTATAATCAAAAACAATCACCTCACTATTTTACACAGGACATCTTTGCATTTAAAATCCAGACATCAAACTACATTTCTGATGTAACAGAGTGAGCAGTTACCTGAACTTTTCCTTTAACAAAGGTGGTAATGTCATTCTCATTCTCAAAGATGGAGAGAGTCTGCAGCAGGTTATGTTCCAGCCACTCCCAGTGCTCTGTGATCTCTTTGCGGGAGGTTCCTGCAGAGGAGAGAGGAGGGAAAGTCAGAGCACCCAGTTGCTGGGCTCACAGGAGGAACATGACAGTGTAATATTTCAGACATAACTGGCAGTACAGTCATGATCTAGTGAGGCATTACTGGTGTATTCTTAAACAGTGAGTTGGGAGATCCTCTTTAACTGGAGGACGTGCTACTGCTTGCAAATGCATCAGTGCAAGTCGAATGAAATGCATATCTTCCATGTCTAAACAGCAACACCATAATGACCATTTTGTTACTGTTATCAGTGATCAGTGAGGTCAAAACTGATTTTTTTGGCTGCAGGAGACAGATCACAGTAATGGCTGCCACTGTGGACCATTATCCTTCAGCACTGCTGCAAACAGCCTTTCAGTGAGTGCACATTCACTGAATTAGCAACGTCTGCCAGACTGCTCCACTCTCCAATCTCTGGGCTGAGGAATTAAGGACTGGGAGGGGAGGAGAGGTGGGGAGCAATTGCTATTTCAGAGCCAGGCTAGTCTTTGGTAGGCCTCCATTTCAGAGAGATAGGGAACACAAATAGTATTCATTTCATGTACACATTTAAAAGGAAACAGCTGAATTAAATGCACGATAGCACTGAACAAAATCATCTTTGCCAGTGTTTTAAAAGTGTTTGACACCACATATAAGTACAGCCGTTTGATCCTAACATCATAATCTTATCAAGCAGCATCCTGATTCACTTCTATGCATTCCCAAAGTTTGTGGGTTGCATTTCTGAACTCCCACGTATATGCAAATAAAGCACGACGAGAATCACTTGTTCAGGCTTCGCAAATGTTATTATTTTCTTTGTCCTTTCTGACAGTAGACTAATACCATGTATGTAACAAGCAACTTGGGCTTCAGGGAATTGCACAATTCTTACAGTTGTAGACTAAACAAAAGAAAATAATCAGCAAAATAACTGATAATGAAAATAACTGTTAGTTGAAGCCCTGGTTTTATATTGGAAGTGTAAAATCATTTCCCCAACATGAAGCTCGGATGATTTCATATTCAATGACAGACTGAAAATGATTAAACAAAAGATTGCTGCCTCTAATCAGGCTGGAGTGTGGCTGCTACTTAGCATGATTTACTGCCACAGACGGTCTCTCGCTGGAGATAACAAGTAAAGCTTTGTATACATAGAATATGCAGATTACATTATTGTGAGACACCAGCTGATGACATGAAATCATAATGAAACTCCTTCAAGTGATCAGCCGAAAAAAAAAAACACAACATCCACTCATATCGATCCCTGCACCCGATCCTGTAATCCTGCCCTTTAAAACCACCGAGGCATGATGTAATGCTTGGCATTCAGCAGCTAACATGGGAAAAGGCAGGATGTCTGAGCATGATGTGCTGTGTGGTGGCTGGGGGAGGGATGTGCAGGGGGTAGAAACCCAGACGGGTCTATACTGGAGTAACACACATCTGTGGGTGCAGATAAAAGCACCTGAAATGTTGAAAATGAACAAACTGAATTTTCAAAGTAGACTTGAGGTTAGATCAAGTACATGCATTTAGAGTGAAGAGCTAAAGTGCACATACCATGAGCAATGATCCAGTAAACTAAAGAGTCAGGAGTCTGGTACAGGATCCTATACGGGGCCATCCGAGCACTGGAGTCCAAGACGACATCCAGGGTTCCAACCAGCAAACCTGCAAGAGTCCAAAACACTGTTATTAAAGACTGAAAAACAAATACTTCACACTTCTTCACAGAGGCACCTCTTGTTCTGGACCAAAAACAATAAAAACCTCACACTCTAAAATTAACCGATGACGCAGGTTCAGCTGTAAAACCCTCACAGACATGTAACAACCATAAATGACCATGTGAGATGCCTAACAAATAAAGTGCATTAACATTTTTAAATCATTTGTCACACTGAAGCAGAGGGGAAACCCATGAGATGCTGTGGTTTAAGATTTGAGTATGAAAACATCCTGTGTCTTGGGCATCTCTGCCCTACATTAAATGCATCTGTTTACTTGTCAGACTTGTTAGGCATGTTAGACCCGTGACCTGATTGACTCTGGGACATGATAACTCACAGTGATTTAGTTATTTGAAGCCAGGTGACAAATGACAGCAGATAATGAGTAATGTGAAACTAATCGAAAGGCTGAGAAGGTGATAAAAGATAAAAGTCACCTGAGGAGGATGAATGCGCTTATGATATGAAATAATAAAGAGCTATGATGCATCTAAAGGTTTAACAGGTGTCGGTGTTTCTCCAGCAAGGAAAACATGAGGCGTGTCCTGAATCCATACTGCATACTGATTTATAACAGGTTTTCTGTGTATAGAAAAATGACTGAATGACTGAAGCATACTCAAAACCAGACAGGCTGCATACTAAACATGCTTGATTTTTTTTTAATGGTGCTGCTAATTCCACAATTCACTGCACAAAGGAATTGGAGGAGCTTCTCACAGCTGAAAAAAAAAATCATAAATTGTGAGTGGTGGCAAAACCGCTCCAGACAGATCTTGGAAAACAAAAAATAATCAGCGTTAAGAAAATTATTTTGAGGGCGTCGGTGGCTTAGTGGATAGAGCAGGTGCCCCATGTACAAGGCTGTCATACCCCCTCTCTCTCCCCCCTTCACGCTTGGCTTTCTTATCAATTAAAATGCAAAAATGCCCCCCCAAAAAAATTATATAAAAAAAAAAAAGAAAATTATTTTGCTCTCTACTTCAAAGTTTTAACTTGAAGGGGCGTTCAACGACATATATTGATAGATGTCTAAAGGTGCACGTATTGCATAATTTCTTGTTATGGTAAAAAAATTAAAGGGATACTTTGCTGTTGTTTAACCAGCTTTGCATCATTACAATGTGCATAATGTGTGTAAATGAAGTATGGTCAACTTCCATGCTCAACTCCCAGCTCTTTCCGCTGGCTCATGGGCTGTTCTTAAAACTGCAGATCGCACTTCCACATTTTGTATGCCAGCCATCACGGACACAAAGAGCATAGAAGCGGATTGAGAGAGTGCGATGTATCTTTGTCTGTCAAAATCCGTGCTGATCAAATATATACCAAGATTCGGTTGCTGTGTTGCCTGTTTCTCACCCAGAATGTTTTCGGAAACATATTTTAGCTTACTGTTTTACTGCAATTTGAGATCATTTGTCACTAGCTGGCTGCTGTAATGTTTCTTGTGGAAAACCCACCAAGCTCGTATTACGTCACCCACCAACATTTTGTATTTTGGTCCGGTGCGGCGCAGTGCATACTGGTAGTTGCAGGTTCTCTTTCAAACCTCGCTCAGTATCTTACTACGGGAAGCGCCTTCAAGCCTGACCGATCATGGAAGCTCCAATAACACCACGTCTGTCACCAATCATCATCCCCTTTATAAATGCCTGCAGCATCCTGCCAGTCATTCTCGCTCTCTTCCCGGTGAAGATCACGAGAGCTCCTCAGCTGTCCTGACGTCCACATTTTCATTTAACTGTTCTCCAAGGCAGCCATAAAGGTAGTCACCGAACATGGGGATCTGGTGTCAGGATTTTTGCATTGTGTATTTTGTTATGAAATCTTAAAATTGTTCAGGTGGGTGTTTTCGTGTTGTGGGGGACATTTACCTGGTTGTACCATACGGAACAGGCTAATTCATCGAGGTGAGCTGTGTGTCTGTCTTTCTCACTGCAATTAGCCGTCAAGGTTAATTTTCATTTTCGCTAACGCCAGCATTATTAATGCAAACCACCAGATCCTCTAAGGGGAATGCTGGTGGTGGCTGGGCAAGGACGTGGAGTCCCGCCCTTGCCCAGCCGCTTGTGGACTGGTAGTTGTAGGTTTTCTATCTCTTGAGCAAAAGCAAATGCTACAGTCCTTTCTCTTTTTTCTCTGGCCATGTTCCACAAACTTGAATGAATGACTGACTTTATTTCGAGCAAAACAACAAATAAAAACAAAACAAACAAAACATCAACAGACATGCTCAAAAAGGAGTAGGAAGAAGCGTACATTTATATAACCCTACCTCCCTCTCACTATTCATGTCTACTGCAAAAACAGTATGCCATGGCAATTAGATTATAGCATGGTTTTGGGACACAGTGATGAATGTAAACAATGCAGGTTTCAAAATATTTAAAGATATACACTTTAATTTAAAGACTTATTAACAGTTACAGCTGAGGACTTGATGGACCGCTCACAAATGATTCACTCGCTTTTGCAGCTGGTTTATTATAAGATGAGAAACCTTTGACCCTTCACTAATGATTTTATTATCAACTCCACAGCCAAAAAGATTTTCACAACCTGGAAACCCAAAAAGCTGTTCTGAATAATGGCTTTTGACTGATCCGAGAGCAGATACAAATTAAAAACCTTTGATACAAGTTGGTAATTAGAAAGTGGCGTCACAGTCACTTGCAATTTAGAAACCTGCAGCGAGCTACTGTAATGTGCAATTGTGATAGCATTTTCCGAGCTGTTGGTTGCTGTGAATATTCTCCTAAGTTCAGAGGAGGTATACGTTCGACTGTCATGAGAGACGGGCTATTTTTGCTCAGCGGCACATCAGGGCAACACTCTGTATGAGTCATACAGAGAGAGGATGAGGAGGAGGAAGGGGAGAGAGGAGAGACAAGCGAGCGAAGCTGAAATGTTTTCTTATTTTCGGAGGAAAACAAGTCTTAAGGACAGACAGGCACCATAAAAACAAAAACAAAAATACATCAGTGTGGTTTGGACTCACTCATCATCCCTTTGCTCTAATTGTCTGCCATCTATCCTCCTCATGTCCATTCCTCTCTGCCTCTGTCCACATATCTGACATTATTAGTTCTCATCAGTCCCTCTCACCATCAGCAACAATAAAACAACGTGGGCCTCAACAAATAGCTGATAGACCATGATGTCTCAATAACACTAAGAGGGTGATTGCAGTGCCAAATGTCATATGTCGAAGGCCTCAAATTAGAGCCACCGCACACACACAGAATATTCCCTTGTATTTGCATCCACTTAACCGTTTCCACAGGGCTGCAGAAGTCAATCAGCTAAAGTGGAGTCCTAATCACAGTGAAGCTAATGAGATGATTCAGCTTGACACTGGTTAAGTCCCTTCGTGAGAAACAAACAACTGTTGTGTGTGAAGACAACTTCCTCTTTCACTGAAGTAAATCACAAGGTTTAAAACAGTCATAACAAAAAGTCAAACAGTTGCTCGCAAGTTGACCTCAGAGAAGGCTTTTAACATGTTAGCTTATTAGCTTTCCTCTGAAAATAGTAAGTGATACAGCACATGCAAGTGACTGCTTGCGGTTAAAATACACAAAAAGCGGCTAATTTGGGTTTTAGTTGTACAGCGTGAAATGAAAAGTTGAGCATTCTGCGTGTGAGTTGAGGTTTAACGCAGGAAACGTGGGGCTTATGCAAAAGAAAGGAGACCACTGAAGGTGTGAGACCACTTGACATCCACCCTGTCCCACCTCTGGTAAGACTGACACAAGTGAAACCCCAGACAGACAGAGAGACAGCTGTTTGTTCGCTGTTGTAGATTCAACGTGAGATGTTATTTATTTACAACCGGCAATCCCGGAACAGCACATACCTGTGCCGCAACATCACACCAAAGCCCATGTGACGGCTTGTTCCAGCTCACACCTCTGCCTTTACAGAGATGATTTCCCTCCACACGCTGAATGAGTGGGTGCACAACCAAAAAAACAAAGACAACACACAGCTGTAATGGTTACATGTTCCGTCTATTATTTCTGGAGGGTAGAAAAACAGCTCTGCCGTGTGATAAGAGCAGGCTTCAAGGCTTCACATCAAATCATGTGATGCTTTTTGCCTCTCTTCTCAGAAGCAAGGACACAATCAGAGTGCCCCATTGTTAGAGCGAAACAAATCACCTTCTCTGAAACATTTCTCACTCAGGAAACCAGACCAACAACATGAGAAAACAGGCGTCTTCTTCTTTGCTTTTGTTTACGGGTGATTGCTGATGTTTGCATTGAGCACACAAAGGAACACAATCTCCCTCAGACTTCACATCAATACTGCCTCAGAAACCTGAGACACGCCTGAATCATCATCATTGAGGCTCATTGCCTCCTCATATATGCAATGATATGTATTTTACAGCTTCTCCACCATTTCTCAACATTTCTCCAACAATGAAAACAAGTCATAAAGTTCAACATGACCGAGTGGCCTAAAACAGGACAGGGTATCTGTGACATGACACACTTTCAGCCACACGTACAGTAATCACCAGCTGGATTGTGAAATGTTGTGTTGTACAATGACTCAAATTATTGTGTAAGTTTATGCCATAGGTGTCAAGCTGCAGAACAACTGACACGACGGCCTGATTCTGAGGTTATTCACAGTTTGATGAATGCAGGTTTTGTTCTGTCTTATTGTTTCTGCCTCCTCTCTGAGCGAACAGAATAATGATGATCATGTCCACATATAAACAACAAAGGACGCTTGGATGCAAAATTTCCATTTGAAAGCCCCGTCATCTCTACACTGTCCTACAAACCTCTGTGCATGCAAACTCCTTTATTAGATAAGACTCTAAGAGACTGTTAAAAGCTGGTGGGTTATCAGGTTCAATGTGTAATGCAAATTACGTTAAACATGACACTGAGCAGGTACATCTCATACTGTAGACGTACTTGCAGC